TACCGAGCATATACGTAGCAATACCGAGCATGTACCTAACGGTACTGAGCAGTACCGAGCATGTACTAAGCGGTACCGAGCATGTACTGAGCGGTACCGAGCATGTACTGAGCAGTACCGAGCATGTACTGAGCAGCATGTACTGAGCGGTACCGAGCATGTACTGAACGGTACCGAGCATGTACCTAACGATACCTCATTTAATAAAAAGACACGCATGTTGGACACGCGTGTCCGATTTTAATTTTAATTTTTTTAATTGCAACACTCCAATGCCGTGTCGGACACGTGTCCATGCCGTGTCCGACACTGCATACCCTCTCTAATTGCCGTGTCGGTGCATCATAGGTGACAACTTGCCAGAAATGAGCCATTCTTATCAGATGGAGTATTGCAACAAATTACCAGGAGGATCACAACCATCTTAGTTCTAATTTGGCTTCGCCATCATTCATTGATTAGCTATTATGGGTCAACCCCACCATGGGAGTGGCTACTAAAGGAACTTGGTTCAACATATTAGTTCATCATTAGGAGTGGCTACTATTGCTAATAGGATATCTACAGTACTAAAGATGACTCTTAAATTTTGGGTTCATCATATTAAAAAGTTTAGCTACGTTTCACGAATCAACTACTTCACAAATTGAGTCGGTTACCTCTTATGGGTTGTTTATATCTTTGAAGGGTTTAACTACAAATTTTATGTTCTTAGCAACCAATGGTCCTTGAGGGGGAATTGACTAGTGGGGAGCCACAATCCATGATGCTCTAAAAAACATAATTAAGCTCCATTGGGATTGAATTGAGTAAGCGTATAAAAAATAAGGTTTAGACATGTCAAATCAAGCTCGATGTGCTCTTTATAAGCTTTAAATTAAGGAAAGGGCCTTTCAAATGAAGGTGAAATCTTAATTCATGCTAAATAAGCCCAAAATAAGACATTTAAATATAGTTTCCATTTAAAACAACATGGAGGCTGAAATTTGAGTTTCTTTCAAGTTTCTATTATGTTCAAACTAACTCCAGAATTCTAGCCATAAAAATAGAATTTGAAGCCATTATTCAAGGAGTTTTTGGATTATTTGAAATCTACTCCCCAAATCAAACTAAACATAGAAAATTTAAACCAACTCTCCTAAAAAAATGCGCATAACCAATAAGAAGAAATTTAAGAAAATTAAAATAACTCTGATAAATAACTCTACAAAATTCCTCTCTTTTCTAACTTAAATCCAAGGGAAGAATAAGTCCTAGGAATATTCCTTTAGGTATTTTTAAATACACCTGAGAAACGATTATTACAAAATTTATCTTATCAAATAGTTTTTTTAAATAAATAGGATTTGTTTTATTCTTTCTATTTTTAGGCTTGATTAGAATTTTCATGTAATTTTATGATTTCTTTATTAGGGAATGAATGGGCTATAAATGTAACTTGCAATTGTGTTTTGAAAACTAATTGACTACAATTCAATTCACTTGGCATTAGTCCTATTCTATGATGTCTCCACCTCTATCCTTCCTGTACTCACTTGTATCTTGTCCCAAGGGAGAAAAAAACCATTGACCACCTCTCTATCTGTTTGTTTTTCACTATTAAAGGTTTTGGCCATGGCAAAGACAATAATTCAGCACCTGCAATCAAAACTATTGGTTGTACTTGAGCGGGGAGGAAATGAGACCTGTAGTTGTTGTTAACGATGAATACCCTTGTTTAAGGCTATATTCAGAGGAAAACAAGGGAGGGGGATGGGGGAAACAAGCTAACATAGAAGAACATATTGAGAAAGAAAGTATTGTGCATAAGGAAATCTTATTTTGATTTTTTGGGTCCATCAATTTTATGGTGGTCACTTTTTTTTATCATTTTATCATCATATGTGAAGGTTATTGCACTTAATCTCATAAAAAAACTCAAGACCTTTCCAAGCCTCATAAAAAAATTTAGAAAATCCAATTGTTTCCTAACAATCTTGAATCATTTTTTTTTTATCATAATATGATTGTGTTGTGGTGTCAAAGTTGTTTATAGACCATACATGTAAAATCATGTTTCATTTCTTTATCTCTTTATATGTATAGTTAAACATTTTATTAATAATTAGTAAAACTACGACTATATAGTATTTTAAAAAGCATTTGGGGGCTTGTCTCAATGTGAAAGGGTAAAATTGTCTTGTGAAGTTAAGAAAGGCATTCAACCTAAAGACCAAGACAATACCTTGGGCACCTTTTGTGCTCTATTAGTGGTGCAATAGTTTCACGATATAACTTAAATTTTATTTAAATTAAATTATTAAATTAGTAAAATTTAACTTATTATAAATATGTTTCCTATCAATTTAAATAAAAATATGAATGAAGGATTAATTGTCTTTTAATCTCGTAAGAGTTGAATCCTAGCAAATTGATTCCTCTTTTACAAGCTTGAAGAACATCGTGATTTGCCTTTGCTTTCCTTGCATCTCGTCTATTTTTGATCTTTGCTTGCTTCAACAAAAAACTCTTTTGCTACTCTTTCTCATCATTGACTTACCATTCGTCTTCGTTGAACCACTAAGCCAGCTTGACTATAATATTATTTCATTTTGATGCTCCATTTTGCTTCATTTTTTTATTTTTTTTGTCAGTTATACTTTGGAATTAGAATATAAATCTTATGGTTATAGACTTTGAATTTTGAAATTTGTTTCAAAGTTTTTTTTTTTTTAATGTTTGATCTTTGTGGTCATGTTTTCTATTTAAAATATCGAAACTATAAACTCTATATGGCTTGAGACTTGCACTCCATTTCTTTATAGAAAAAATATATAGTCTCATGCCTCCTTCAAAACATTGGCAATAGCGGCCATCTTTATCTGCATTGTCATACTACAACTGATGTGATACAATCCATGCGAAAATGACTTGCTTAAGAAAGTTTGCACTTGTAAATTTTAGAGAGAAATGTTAAGCAAAATCCTCTATTGATGTAAACGATGAGATAACATTAAGGCGATAAAATAGCTTAGTTCTAAACACATGCGAGAGGTTGAGATCATTAAATAACCAACTAAGTCTTACTTTGCATACATGAGTGGTTTCAACGAGAAATTCCAATGCTAACAATAAGATTAGTATTATGAAGGGCCTCCCTCACAACTCATTCAAATACTAGGTTTAGCGGAGGTGATAAAACATGCGCTTTGTGAATCAAATTATAACCACGAGTAGAGTTAACTCACAAGATAGAGAGTGAGTGAAGAGTTTACCCAAAATAAAAAGGAGTTATGAAGCTATGACGATGGCGGGAATGAAGGGGCAGCAGCCTTCAAACTTTTGGAATCACTCAACAACAATGGAAGTCTCTTCGGGCGGCGGGAAGACACTAGATCTCCTCAGGATAGCAGCTAGGTCTGGTTCTTGACGGCTGGACAGCACCCTAGTTTACTGAGGTTGCAAGCTCCCAAATCTCCTCTCCTATAATCTGAAAACAATTTCAGATTTTAACAAGAAAAATCTGAGAGGAGTTCTCAGATTTTGGTGGGCTGAGATGTAGAGAACTTGAAGAGGGGTCTAGCCTTGGTTGTGAATAGAAAGTTGAGAGCCAACTTCCTTACAGGTTTTGGAAGAGAGAAGTTAGCTAATGCAAGCAGGAAAGAAGAGCCGTGACAGAGAAAGCGAGTCGGCGGGATTGAGAAGGGGTGAGCTCATGTTTCCTAAAGCCAACCTCTTGTATTAGGAAATAATAAAGAGCCAAGATATGAGTGCAGGTTTCGGCCAGGTAAGAATTACAGGAATTGTATTTTTTTTTCTTTCCAAAAGAGGGACTTAGAATTAGGAAACAATTAAGTGGAAATTACTGGGCTAATTGGAGAGGGAAAAGACTTGAATTTTGAATTTCAAGTCATAGGCATTAATGCCTTGAATGGGGGAATTAATGGAGGGGAGCCAAGAGGGGAGGAGGCCGGCGGTTTTGGAAGGGAGAGGGGTTTCAAAACCAATCCTGAAATAAATTTCAGAATTTGAAATTTTAGGAGAGAAACATTATTTGAAATTAATTTCAATTCCAAATAGGATGGGGCATTAAAGGAGCAATCAATGGGGGAAATCCATCATGGGGGCCGGCGGCATGGTGAGAGGGGGGGAGGGAAATTAGGGAGGGATGAGGTGTTTTTCAATTGAGTCGATGCCACCTAGGATGAAAAATTAATAACTCCACATGTCATGAAATTTGGATTGGATCAATTCGAAAACTTTCCTTTTTAGGAATTTTGCAAAATGGAAAGTTTGAATTTCAAATTTGAATTCAAAATCAGTAACTCCTTTATTTATTGCTAGGCCACAATCAAGGAGCCATTATGATGATTGACATCTTCATCATGGCTTGGAGCAAGGTGGTGGCCGGCGGCCAAAGGAGGAAGAGGGGCTTGCCATCGGTTTTGGGGATTTCTTGGTGGATCTTGGGTTGTGGTGGAGGAAGCTAATGAGTAACGTGGTGGATGATGGGAACTCGGGTAGGTCTTGGCGTGGGGAGGAGGAAAACGAGATTTGGAGAAGAAAACAATAAAATAAAAATAAATCACGAGTCAAGGACGCTTCCAATGACTGGCGGGGATTGCTTTTGCCCTCAACTTGGGCTTTCCCTAGAACTCACACAGAGATCTATGAGAAAAGAACTCACTAAGAGATCTTCAAGAAGGAACTCACAAAGAGAACACAAGAGCAAAATTTTCATCCAATCATCATCTCAATACAAGAAAGCTAGCCTATAAATAGGCCTCATGAGAAGAAAAATAACAAAGACTGAAATGCCCTTCGGGCTACAACACTACATGACCACCCATAAGGGTATAAAGGGAAAAAACAACAATATGAAATAAACTAGTACCAAAACATATAAATAAATAGCTCAAGATCGTAGCCGTTGATCTCCAATGTCCTCATCAACAACCACTTACAACTTGTTGAATACATCCCATGCAATTTGTGTATGATAATGTTATATTCTTGTCTAGCAGGAAAACATGGGGTCACATTTGCAAGATAAAGGTATTCCAGTGGATATTGTTTGCTGTTTGCAGCATTTGCAGGTATTTTACTGCCGATGATTATTTTGCACTTTTTTCCTACAAGTAATGTCTGCTGAAAAAGAAACATCTGTGCAGCTTTGTTTTGAAAACGAAGAGAGAGTGAGGACTCTCCTTCATAATGTGTCGTCTCTTCTTAAACCTGGGGGATATTTTTTCGGTATAACTCCTGACTCATCTACTATATGGTATGGGTATAAGCAAACTCGTTCATATTTTTTATCTTTGATTTTCTAATTTTTCAGCATTGTCTACTTCAATATTATTTTCTCTGAAGCGGTGTTTTTATATCAGATTTTTGGCAGGCTGATAAATTTTAAGTTGCAAAATTATTCATTTAATGATATAAAATTAAAAAAAGTCTTGTTGGAATGTTTTTTTTTTCCTTACTTTTTTTTTGTCAAATAAGGCTTATTCTTCTTTTTGCCATGGAAGTGCCATCATATGGGTTCTTTCTTAAAATATCTAATTTTTTTTTACTTTGAATTGGGAAATTTGACTTTATATGCCCCATAATGGTCTTAATTGGCCAAATATCCTCGTTGTTCATTATTTGGAAAAATATGCCTAGAATTTTCTTTTAATTAATATCTCCACTCCTTTGAATACTTCCAAGCATTCTCCATTGCCACTTTCATTATCCTTTTGTCAAGATTTCTTTGTTGGATAGGTTAAGAAGAGTGAGGTGGTGAATTTCAATAGGACAAAGTAGTTTAACATTGACTTCGACGATTATTGGCTAGTCTTTTTCAATAGTTGAATGATGTTGTATCATGTGATCCAAGTGATTGTATGATATTTGAATAAACAAAACAGTTATGTAAAGTGTAGATGTACTTGTGGTGGAGGCCTAATTCCTTTTTTAGCCTTGTTTGAACCATATGAAGTTTGAATGATGTTGATCATATTCTTGTTCAAACCTTGGTCGATTCTTTTTTGATCAAACCTAAACCTTTTTTTTTAACATGTGTTCAAGTCCTATTTGGCATATTCGGGCAATGTTCTAATCATGTTTGGGCATGGATTTTAAAAGGCTTGAATAAAGTTCACACTATATTCTAATTATGAATGAACATGGTTCAAACATATTTTGTAATAGATAGTGTTTTTGTGTTTATATTCAGAGGTTTTTTTTTTTTTTTTGAAGATGAATCGAGTATCAACATTCTTGCGATGTATGGAGAAGAATGTAAAGAAAGCTAAGTCGGTTGGACATTTGATGAGAAACAATGATGGTTCAAACAAGTATTTCCATAGAAGATATTACAACTTTTAGATACATAGTTATAGAGATTGACAAGAACCAATTTAGCTTGAAGCTTGAAGTGATATACCACTTTGGTGGAATAAAGTCTATGATATAAAATTCATTCTACTGAGTTAGCAGCAAAATATGATCTTGCTTTCTTTTTGAACGGGTTATCCTTTTCTTTTCAATACTGATCTTCCATTTATGTGTCTATTACTCCCATAGATATTTCAATCACATATTATTATACAAGTGAGCATGATGCATGGTCAGTCAGTTCGTCATCTTATATTGATTTAAGAGTTGAGCAGGCTGATGTTGTGGATATACATGATGCAAATAAAGGAGATGATGTGGATGATGGTGGCTCCATAGATGCTTCAATACTAAAGTGTCCATTAGATATTAATGCCCCACTTTATGATGCACCCAAAACTAGTAAATGAGCAAGGTCTTTTGATTTTTCATATACATTGTGACTGGAAGCAATAAATTATAATATTAAGAATACATGCATAACTCTTATCTTACAATTGTCAATGCCCAAAAGTGCCTCCAATTCATTGTTTGTTGACACAATGGCCTCATGCTCGAGTTAATCCTCAATGTATTTAAAGGTTGGGAAGTGTTTTGAGAGTAAAAATGAGTTACAGATGAAGTTATATTTATGTATAATGAAGATGAACTTTCAATTCAAGGTAAAGAAATTAGGGAAAGACAATTTGATGTGATACGATCAAGAATTGCACGTGAAATTTATAAAGAATCACAAAGTATGCTAATTTAAGATTAAAGTATCGTGAGATGAGGTTCAAGAGTTTTCAATTGTCAAAGTTATTATGATAAGCAATTACAAACTTGATGTTTGGACATAATTGGTATCGTGAGATGAGATGCGAATGCAGATGCAGACTCAGAAATTCTAACCTTAGGACTCATGGGAATCAAATAAATGGGCTGTTTGGGTAGGTATCCGTACACGACTTTAGCAGGACTTAGACCCGTGGATCGGTTCACAGAGTTGTTGTAGGCAAATTCAGCTATAGGTAGTGTAGAGTCCCAGTCCCGTATATTTTCTTCTACCAAGGTCCTTAAAAGATTTCCTAAACTCCTGTTTACTACTTCAGTTTGACCATCCGTTTGGGGGTGAAAAGCAGTAGAGAATTGTAATTTGGTCCCCATTTTGTGCCATAACGTCTTTCAAAAGTAACTAGTAAATTTCGCATCCCTATCTGATACAATGGTCTTAGGTAAGCCGTTAAGTCTCACAATTTCATCAAAATACAGCTTAGCTGATCTAGAAGCATAAAAAGTTTTGGAGTACGGGAGAAAATGGGTCATCTTAGAAAATCTATCTACAACTACACAGACTGAGTCATGCTTCCTAATGGTCTTGGGTAATCCTAAGATAAAGTCCATGCTAACATCCTGCTAAGGTTGGTTAGGCACGGGGAGTGGTGTGTAAAGACCGGTGTTTTGTTTCCGTTGTTTGGCCAATTGACAGGTGTGACATCGCTTTACTAATCTACTAACGTCCCTCTTAAGACTCGGCCAATAAAATCGATTTTCAACAGCTACAATTGTCTTGTCTTGTCCGAAGTAACCCGCTAAACCTCCAACATGTAATTCCCAAACAAGAAATTCTCGAAGTGACGTTTTGGGAATACAAAGTTTTTGGGATTTAAATAAATATCCATCTTCCAACATAAAATCTCCTATGATCCGTTCATCTCCAGTTGCTAACGCAGAATAGGTTTCTCTAAAATTAGGGCAGTCTAAGTAGTCTTCCTTAAGTCGCTCGAAACCTATCACTTCCGTCCTCATCTCACGAGTGACCATCATCCTACAACTTAGTGCATCAGCGGCCTTATTTTCTAATTCCGCTTTGTGTCTAATGGTATGTGTACTCTTGTAGGAATTCAACCCACCTCCCATGTTGGGCATTAAGTTTCTTTTGGGAATTGATATATCGTAACGCTTCATGATCTGAGAAGATGACAAACTCTTGGGGAAGTAGATAATCTCTCCAATATCTGAGGGACTGAATGATGGTGTAAAATTCTTTATCATATGTGGAGTATCGTTTCCTGATGTCATTTAACTTTTCACTAAAGTAGGCAACCGGGTGTCCTTCTTGAGCTAATACTCCTACGCCTATGCCAGATGCGTCACACGTCACTTCAAAAACTTTAGAAAAGTATGGCAGACACATGACTGGTGCTTCGACCATCTTCCTTTTTATTTCCTCAAAAGCCTTGGTGGCAAATGTCGTCCAGTGGAATTCTCCTTTCTTTAGACAGTTAGTTATTGGACCCACTATGGTGCTAAAATTCCTGATAAATCTTCTATAGAACGTGGCCAGTCCGTGAAAATTTTTAACATCTCTAATGTTCTTAGGTTCAGGCCATTCATTGATCGCTCGCACCTTTTCGGGGTCAGCAGCTATGCCTTGGGAAGAAATAATAAATCCAAGAAAGGTTACTTGATCTGTTAGGAACGTGCACTTCTTAGGATTAGCATGCAACTGTTCCTTTTTCAAAATTTCACAAACTTGCCTCAGATGATTCAAATATTGTTCCACCGAATGACTATAGATCAGGATATCATCAAAGCATACTACTACAAATTTTCCAAGGAATGGTCTGAGGATCTGAGTCATTACTCTCATAAAAGTGCTAGGTGCGTTACTCAAACCAAAAGGCATTACCGTCCATTCGTACAATCCATCTTTGGTCTTAAAGGCGGTCTTCCATTCGTCTCCCGGGCGTATCCTAATCTGGTGGTAGCCACTTTTGAGATCAATCTTAGAAAAAAGTGTGGCCCCAGTCATCATATCTAGCATGTCATCTAAACGAGGGATCGCGAAACGGTACTTGACCGTGATCTTGTTAATAGCACGGCTATCAACACACAATCTTTACGACCCATCCTTCTTAGGGGCAAGAAGGGCGGGGACAGCGCACGGGCTAAGACTTTCCTTAATGAATCCACGTTGTAGTAACTCATCCACTTGTTTCTTGAGCTCCTCATGCTCGGCAGGGTTCATTCGGTAATGGGGCAGATTTGGCAATGAAGCTCCAGGAACTAGGTCAATAGCGTGTTGAATATCCCTTGAAGGAGGCAATTGGTGGGGCAGATCTTCTGGGAAGACATCAGAAAAAGCGTCAAGGAGCGGTCTTACTTCCTCGGGGATAGGTTCTTCTTGTGTGACACTCACTTCCCGAGCTACTAACGCGTAAAGAGGGGCTTCTGACTCTAGTTCCGTACCTAAGTCTTTAGCAGTCAACAAGTTCAGGCCCGTGTTGGGTTTAAGGGAGTTGGGTTTAACTTCCTCTTTGATAGACTTAGGCTGAGTGGGTAGGAGCTTAATTTTCTTTCCCTCGTGCTCAAACACGTAGGTGTTTGATCGGCCATATATATGAACATCGTTATCGAATAGTCAGGGGCGGCCAAGAATGATTTGACCAACATCCATAGTCAAAACATCACACCAGATTTTCTCTTTATATCCATGAACTCAATAGGAACGAGACTCCTATCTTTCACCTCTAAGGTGGTCAAGTTGATCCAGGCGACTTTGTAGGGGTTCGGGTGTGGTGTGGTCCTCAATTGAAGTTTCGAAATCATAGCAGAAGATGCGGCGTTAATACAGCTTCCACTATCTATGATGACTTTGCAATTCTTGTCCCCAATCTTAGTGAAAGTGTCGAAGATCGAAGTCCTTTGCCAGTCGTCGCTAGGTTTAGGCTGTGAGAAGGCACACCTAACGACTTATAGATCCAAGTGATTCATCTTTTGCAGGCAGTGGATCACGATAGTATCTTCATTGTTGAAAAATTCCTCATCGTCGTCAATATGGTGAATTAGTTCAGCTTCAGGCTCATCCTCTTCTTCCATCACTTTTTCAATTATAGTGACCTTAAACGGGCTGGAGCATTG